CATAACCTTAAACATACATCTAATGTCATATTAAAAGAGTACAACTGCGAACGAATGCTGGGTGGTCCTCCATCCATAATGAAATGTCTCATGTTTCGTCCAGACATTCTTCCATCAGAATTGTTCAGTGATACAGCTGCTGCATGGAATATACTGTTGGTGTGTCCAATGTAAATCTCTTCTGTCCTATTTAACTGTCATTAAAACCACTGACTACACAAAAAGTATGGAAGGCGATGTGAAATTATAACACACATATTAGGTATACATTCCATTTCTTAATTATATTCAATAAAATGTATTACAGTGCAGAAACAATGAACAAGAAAACTAAAAACAAAAGGAAAATAAAGAATTATTTTCACAGCTTAGTAATGTGCCTGAGGGTTACACTGAGTCTCTATAGCTCCTATTAAACCTACGGAGTTTGCACTTTTTGCAAGACTCCCCATAATAACTGCAGTACTGTGAGCTGTTGGTTTCTCATTACCATTTAGGTTTTTCCAACAGTTCTTCAAGGACCAAATTGGGAACCATAACAACTTCCCTGAAATGAAGTTGTTATGGTACCAGGAGGTCCCTGGCACTAGCTCACCTTTAGGGACTAAAACTTTCCAGTCTGTGTTCCAGCTCCAGATCTCTCTGCCCATCTGTCCTTCCGCTTGCTCAAATTCTGGGAAATTGAAGGTTTGGGCAGCATTAGGCAGGGGTGCTACTGATTGGCTGAGAGCGGTCAGATGACCACACTGCTCTCAGCCAACCAGCGACAAAGTTGTTATGGTGCCCAGAGTATTCCTTTAAGTCCAGGTTGTAATAAATGCAGTGTTCGATGGTTTGCAGAATGCTGATACCGTGGAAGAAAGAAAGAAAGAAAGAAATTATTACAATTTAAACAGAGTTTGTATGTTCCTATAGAATGCTGTATGTTACAGTGGTTACAATATCCTAGTTACTGTCTACATTCTCTAACTAGTACCACCTTTGCCACAATGCTCGTGCTATGATTATATATCTCAAATTTTACTTTGGATTCACATGAGAATGTTAAGGAACATAATATGCCACCATTAGAGTTAAGTTTCATAGACTCCAAGCACCATAATCACTACCACAAGTAGTGAATATTATTTATATCCATAACCTACTCTGAATTTTCCAATTATAATACATTTTTGCTGTCTGACCAGTATACCTGTATTTCTTTTTATAAACCAACAGGAAAATGTGTATTTAAGTGAAGAGTTAGACCAACATGTGCCAGCAATGTAAACTACAAAACCTAGGGACAGTCACAGAAAAATAAACTAGTTGGACAGTTTTCTGTTCCTGAAAGACAGATCCAAGAAAATAGCAAGTATTAACATGTATCTATAATGACAACTGTATCCAGCTTAATTTTTGTAATCACAAGACAAGCAACTCATTGTCTCCCTACCATCTTTGGAGACTTTAGTATTTCAATAGATGCACTGACTAGCTCTGATAATTCTGAATTTCTATCTATGACCGTCTCCATGAGACTCACACAGTGAGCCTGAAATCCCTTGATCTTCTCAGCATTTCACTGATATATAACTTCTCCTCTCCAAATAATGTTGATTTATTTTCAAACATTCATGTTAGGAAGCACAAGGGGAAATAGTGACCATAATATGGTATCATTTGAGATTAACTAAAAAAAAAGCAACAACACATTTATATGGGCTGTACAAAAACACTTAATTTAAAAAAATAAAAAAAGGCTAGATTCAATAGGATAAAGGCATCTTTACAACAGAGGATAAATGGAAGGTTTTTAAACACATTCTACAAAAGTGCATTTCTCATTGGGAAAAGAAGCAAATGAAAACCAATGTGGCTTAGTACAAGGGCCTGCCAAATGATGAAAGATAAGAAAATGGCATTCAACACAATTAAATCAGAGGGGTTGATTGCATCTTATGACAAATATAAGCATGCCAATAGAGCTTGCAAAAGTGCAATTAGATGGACTAAACTTGAAAGTGAAAAGCTCATAGCTAAAGAGAGCAATAACACCCCAAAAAGTTGTTTAAGTATGTTAATGCCAAAAAGGTTGAGTGTGAAAGTATTGATCCCTTGAAAAGTGAGATGAGTGAGTTAATCAAGGAGGATCAGTACAAAGCAGAAATTCTAAATGATTATTTTTATTCAGTATAAAGGGAAGAAGAATCTATGGCTGTAGAATTGCAAACCCCTGTTACAAAAGCCTTAACAGCAAACAGGTGATTGGTTAACACAGGATAAACTGCTTCAGAAATTACATAAAGTTAATGTACATAAAGTTAGTGTTAGATGGTATTTACCCATGTGTACTTAGGGAGCTTAATGTAGAAATATCCATACCACTGTTTATAATTTTTCAGGATTCCTTTCTTTCAGAAATTGAACCAGAGGATTGCAGAAAAGCAGATCTGTGCCTATATTTAAAAAAGGTTTAAAATTTTAAATTGGAAACTACAGATCCATGAGCTTAACAGATATTGGTTGGGAAATTATTTGAATGGGCTGTTAAGGAAAATTATACAAAAATATCATTAGCAGGAATCAACATGGTTTAATGAAAGACGGGTCATGCCAAACTAACTTAGTTGCATTCTGTGAAGAAGTTACTGAAAATATAGATCAGGTCATCCAGTAGTTGTGATCTACTTGGAATTTGCTAAGATACAATTCTACAGAAAAGGTTACAAGTAAAACTGATGAAACACTGTGTTCTTCGATGAAACACCGGCGTAAAGATAGAGTGCAGAGAGTAGATGTAAATGGAAAATTTTCAAATTGGACAAAAGTAGGAAGTGGAATGCCTCAGATTTTTGTCTTGGGCCCATTTACCTTTAATCTGTTTATAAATGATCTCGAATTGGGCATATGAAAGTCATTTATAAGTGTTTGCAGATGACACAAAACTAGGTAAGAAAAAAATGTCTGAATATTACACAAGTTCTTTACAAAGCAATTTGGAAAAATTGGGGGACTGGGCAGGCAAGTGACAGATGAGATTCAGTACAGATAAATGCAAAGTCATCCCTTTTGGAATAAGGAACCCAAAAGCCACTTGAACATTAAATAGGGTAGAGTTAGGGATAACATTAAATGAAAAGGACTTGAGAGCAACTATAGATCACAAAATAGGCAACAGTATGCAATGCCAGTCTGACATTGCAAAAGCCAGTAAGATGCTTTCCTGTATAAAGAGGGGTTTTGATTCATCTGATCCAACTCTAACTTTTCCTCTATACAAATCAATGGTAAGACCCCACATTGAATATGTGGTACAATTTTCGGCACCAGTTTTAAATAAGAATATTGTAGAACTAGAAAAAGTGCAGAGGTGAGCCACAAAACTAGTGAGGGGGATGGAAAACATTAGTTAAACACCAACTCTAGCATACAAAATCCACCCTATACCTCCAAAGGGGCTTGAGCGTGGCAGAACATTACTGGAGGAAATCCCATAGTATAACCTTCTTCCTGCACAACAAATGTATGTCACTGACTGCCTATCCTCTGTCTCTTTCAACCCTTACATAAAACCTATCACCAAATCCTGTCACATTCACCTTCAAAACATCTTCCCTTTCTCATTCTGAATGAAACCAAAATGCTTGTCCATGCTGTCATTGTCTCTGTGAAGAAAACTACATACTTTGGTTCTCATTTGTATTTTTTTTAATTCAGTAGATAAATCTACCTAACACCGATCACCCGCCTGGCTCATTAAGATTAAAGAAAACTACAGGAATTAGCACTCTCCCTATGTGTCCATCTTGGCGCATTAAAAGAGGCAGCGTGACTTGGTCGTTGAATGTCTGGAACTCCAAATCGGATACTCAAGTGCCCAAATGCCAGTCAACTTCGTGAATGCCTGCTTTTTTTCCCAGACCAGCCAGGAGAGCGCTGTTCGGTAGGTTTGTTCTCACGAAAACCAGGGGACAAACGCTACATATGAACCAGGGGCACCGTTCGTGGATTTGTTCGGTTTGGGACTCTCTATTGACCGACCGCTACCCATGAAACTCTGGAACTGTTTTGGGCAAGCACCTTGTGAGCGGTCGGTCAAATCTTTACCCCGGTGTTGATTTGGTGGTGATATAAATAGATATAAATAATTACAATTAACTACATTTCTCTGCATTGTAACTACATATATAATCTACTGGCATATCATGTTTTCATATACCAAAATGTAGTGGATGTCTTCAGTGGTTGACCAAAAACCATAAGGTGTAATATGAGAGAACGTGAGCTGAGTGGGAACCTTGTTTTGATAGCAGTGGTGGCGCATACATGGTGCAGCCTGTGATTAGTGAGAGGATCAGGTGAGACAGAGAGAGTTCCAGTTCCTCTCCTAGCATGTCACTGAAGGGAGAGGAGCGGTATTTATAAAAAATGTATGTATATAAAATATTAAATAATTGATTCTCTCATCCCTTCCAGAGGTCTGGGAGTTTAAGGGTTCTGCGCAGTCTCTTAGCTGTTCCTAGAACTGCACTCTTCTGGACAGCGATCTCAGGTGTCCCACCTGGAATCTGTTGAAGCCACTCCCCCAACTTGGGAGTCACAGCCCCGAGTGCTCCTATCACAACTGGGTCTACTACTGCCTTCACTTTCCACATCCTTTCTAGTTCTTTTTTCAGTCCTTGGTATTTGTCCACCTTCTCATTTTCTTTCTTGCTGATGTTATAGTCACTGGGTATTGCCACATCCACCACGACTGCAGTCTTTCATTCCATGTCTACCACCACGATGTCTGGTTGGTTGGCCAGCACTTGCTTGTCTGTCTGGATCTTGAAGTCCCACAGGATCTTAGCCCTGTCATTCTCGACTACCCTTTGTGGTATCTCCCTTCTGGACGTAGGCAGGTCCAATCCATATTCTGTGCAGATGTTTCGGTACACAATCCCAGCAACTTGGTTGTGTCTCTCCATGTATGCTGTTTCTGCTAACATCTTGTATCTGGCTACTAGGTACTGGACTGTCTCAGAGGCCTCTTTGCACAGTCTGCACCTTGGGTCTTGCCTGGTGTGGTAGACTCCAGCTTCTATTGATCTGGTGCTGAGTGCCTGTTCTTGTGCTGCTAGGATTAGTGCCTCAGTGCTGTCTTTCAGTCCTGCCTTTTCCAACCACTGGTAGGATTTTGTCATGTGAGCCGCATCCACTATCTGCCGGTGGTACACCCCGTGGAGAGGTTTGTCTTGCCAAGGAACCTCCTCTTTTCTGCATCCTCGATTTGTGGAAGTCTCAGGCATTTTAGCAGTTCATCTTTGGGAGCCATCTTCGCGAAATACTTGTGGATGCTCTGTGTTTCATCCAGGACTGTGGCTTTGACACTCATCAAACCCGACCGCAATCCTTCCGGCAGGTGTACTGTCTCTGGGTGCTGGATTTCGTGTGGAATCCTCCATTAATAGTGAGTAGTTTCCTGGCCTTGACATCCATGGTGACCAGTTCTTCTCTTGGCCAGGTTAATATTCCAGCTGGGTACCTGATGACCGGTAGGGGATATGTAAAACGCTCTAGAGATAAATCTGTGAATCAAGTGTTTTAAACTTATGTGTCTATATACAAAATATATATATTTGTCAAGACTATTATAGTTTATTTTACATACATGGTTCAAATATAAAAATATTAAGTAATGCATAAAATTATTTTGGCATTTTATAAGTAAATAATAATTAGTGTTAAATATGGCATTGTTTATAAAGCTGTCCATTAAATGTTGCAACAGCCGTAAGGCTTAGATGTAGCAAATACTACATTTTACTGCAGCTGTCTGGTACTTAAACAATTTCCATTAAATCCCTCACCCACAGCTGTGTTATGAGTATTAACAAATTGTTCCAAATACATCGGAGGAGGTCTGTACCTCTACCACTCCTCGGCAACCATCAGTAAATTCACGGACAGTCTGTAAAACATTACTTAATTTTTCACCTGTTCATAATGCTGGTAAATGTGATGAAGGCATGCAGCAGTAGATGTTATGTAATAATTAGGGCAGCTAAATCTCAGTTTAAGTGAAAGGCGTATGGAAAATGTACACTACACAGGATTGCATTAGAATGAATGCAATCAGGCAGAATGTATCTTTATAAACAACCCTTAATTAACCCCCTGCTTACCAAAGTCCGTTACTTTAAAATCAAATGCAACATTTATTTGAAGGATAGGATGCATAGCTTGCACATAAGGGTATGACATAATAATTGTGAGTATACACTGCTAATAATGCCTAAAGATGAAAATAATGTCAATTTACATTTATATATTGTGGTAAAAGTAACCTCATCATGGTCTCTTGGAGGGGCCTGCTTGTCAGCCTCTTACCTCAGGACTATGGCCCCTGCAAAAGACCTTGGACCCTGCACGTTTAACAGATTCTGTTCATGCCTTTAGACTTATATGCTTCGGTATATGGGGCTTACCGAACAGTTTAGGAGTATTGTGCTCGTGTACTGAACCAACTCCCGAACACTTGGACCACCCATGGGAGACGTGTACTGCTTATTGACCTTATTGACCTCGTTAACTGCAACGTTCTAAGTGGTTAGCTGGGTGGCTGTCATTCATATGTGCGAACACGCGGCGGCGGCCATCTTTAGCCACCAACATGGTGTTTGGCCATTGAGTGCATGGAACCCAAATCGAACCCTCAACGGCGCGAACACCGCTAGAACTTCCCCTTCCATCGAAGTTCGGTTAAACGTATGGGAATTGAAAGACGTTTGGTGGTAGCAAGCTCCCGAATGAGAGACATAAACTGAGCGTACCCACAAACTGCTACGTTCGGTATTATGACTGTATTGTGTATTCCCGAAAGAGACCGGTCTAATTATGACCTCCATGGAAATCCTGAACCCGTAAACCGACCTAAGTTATTTTTAGATATGGTGGTCACCCAGATCGGGGCTATCAGGGGTTGTTTTCATTGGTTTTGGGGGTATTTTCAGGATACTGCTAAAATGTATGTTTTCTGTGCCTGGAGATAATTGAGTTTAGTACAGTTCCTGACTCAATTATCTCTCAGGCACAGGGAAAGGATTAACTATTTTGTGTGGGAGTGTCCTGGACCTGAGAGCCAATGTCATAACAGTGTGTACTTTGTCATACTCCCCTCTCAGGTCCAGTAGGGAATGCTCTATCAAATATTCTGTACTCTGCCCTTGGGTTTTTACGTCCAAGACTCTGCATTATGCCATTTGGCTTATCTCTCCTGGAACATCAACCCTGTTACATATCTTAATCATCAGGAAAAAGACATACCTTACCATCAAGACCTTCTGCAATATCACTAATAAAAATATTAAAGAGAATGGGTCCAAGTACAGATCCCTGAGGTACCCCGCTGGTGACAAGCCCATGCTTCGAATGTACTCCATTGACTACAACCCTCTGTTGCCTGTCACTCAGACACTGCCTTACCCATTCAACAATATTGGAATCCAAACTTAAAGATTGCAGTTTATTGATAAGCCTTCTATGTGCAACAGTGTCAAAAACCTTACGGAAATCTAGGTAAGCAATGTCTACTGCACCACCCTGATCTATTATTTTAGTTACCCATAGCCAAGAGCACTTGCTCTTGTAAGAGCTATCCTGCTGTACTCTCTGGAGTAGGAGAGGTCTACCCACAGGAAGCTCAATCCCTGACTTGGGTCCAGGGTGGGTGGAGGACAGCGAGACCCCAGTCAAGCTGCAGCGGCTGTGGGGTTTATGGTGGTTATGATGTTCTAGCGCGGTGCTTATGGTGCTCGCAAGTACTAGGAAGCAGCGATTATTATTATTGTATTATGTGTAGTTTGTTGCAAGACGTTTTCAATAGGGATACAGAAAGCCAAAAGGGGCAAGGGTTGCAAAGAAACCAAAACAGCCATGGAAACATCAATATATGGTTTGATATATAGATATGTAATATCCAATATACATTGTGAGAGCCACACTTAAGTACAAAGTACCATGATAGTTAATAGGAACACCACGCAACTATTCTTGAAAGAAAGAAACATAGCATAATAAGAGGGGTGAGAACCTAATGGCACTCCAACATGACCATCTCAATGACCATTGTAATATGAGATTGGTTGGTCTAGACATTGGTTCATGTAATATTTGAAATGCAAGGATACAGCTATTTAAAAGGAGACCAAATTTTATCAACTGAACGTCGTTGTTTAAGTGAAAATATTGTAATCTGCTCATCTTTGTTGATTTGTATTTATTATGTCAATCAATTCTGCCCTTCCTGGGTACTTCATGCTTTTCCAGGTGTGAGCAATAACATGAGGGGTGGCCAATATAATGTGGATCGCTAAAGCTTTGACAGTGAGCGGTGTGTCATCCATGAAGGAAAGCCACAAGGCTTCCTCCAGGGATTAAGAAAAACGAGTGGAGCATAAGTGACTAAGACTTCATAAACCATATTTATTTTGTGGCAGCTCCACCAAATATGAGTAAGGGTGCTTGTATCAGACTGGCATTTCCACCTGGTCCAGGTGCAGTATATATGCCGCTATTCTGTTAAGTGTCATCTCCTATCCAATAGGAAGTCTTGTAGGTCAGTGAAAGGCAGGAGGACCTTAAATGGTCAGTCACATAATTATGCAGTTTGTCCTCCGGTAACCCCCAGCGGTGTATATTAATTCTACATTTTCTGTATTCTTAATCATTTAGCTTCATTTGTGAGATTTTAGATCCCATAGATTGTGCTTCTGCTAAAGAATTGGGGCCTCAGTGATCTCACCAGCATCTTCTTCCACATAGGCCGTATGTTCTCGAACTACCTTGATGTCTTTTCTAATGTCCGCTGCGATGTGCTGAAAATCCACTAGTGAAGTAATTTTGAAATCATTTAACATCCTCTGTATCAAGCTATATGTAGCAGGAGGTGTAGGGAGCACCGAGATTAAGGTTTCATAGCTTGGCCCAAAGCTGGAGGCTGATGAGAGCACGAATGTCGGCCGTGGCATCACCTTGGGCTTTTCCATGCAGCTGGAGAGGTCTTGTAATCAGCATAGCAGCTGACTATGTCTTGCTCTTTTATTTTCTTGGTCATTTCGGTACAGAAGAACATCTGCAGCTATCACCTCAGTGAAACGGGTATATTCGCTGTATAAAATATGCTACTAGGTCCTCCATGTAGGAGCCCCATTGCAGAGGAGGTAAAGCATTTTTATTACTATCATTATAATTTTTATTATTATAGATTGTGGGAGGAGATATGGAAACAATTCTACTCGCTCAATCCTCCCACCCACCCAGGCTCCCCCTAAATTTATAGCATGCTCCTACAGCTGTTTAAAATTCTCACTCAATTACCTCGTCATTCCCTTTTATATTTTACTAATAGCTGCAACTCTCTGTTTACTTTTTTAGCCATCACTTCCAAATTTCCCCTGCTACCTCTTCTCTCAAATCCCCACTGTATCCTTTAGATTGTAAGCTCATGGGCTATCTAGCTAAGCACTTTGCATAAAAGAGCTTAAATGGCTAGATCTCAGCTTACGGACAGGGCCCTCTAAAACCTTTTGTATTTGTCTGTGTATATATTTCGTCCTCCACTAATTGTACAGCACTGCAGAATCTGTTGGCACTTTATAATACCAGTAATAAATAAATAAACTGGTTGTCTGAAAAGATAGTGAGTAGAATTGAACAATCAGATGAATGAAACAATATGGTTATGTATTCCATAATCTATTGGTAGGGGTAACCTTTTACATTTTTGGGGTTCCTAAATTCTCAGTTAATAAAAAAAATATATAATTATAGCATTTTAAACATAATATCTCTAGACGTTTAACCTAAAACATTGATATTTGATTAACAAAACGTACTTCGCCATATAGTGACAGATCTCACATTTCCTATGGTAAGTATAGGGTAAGTTACGGTAAGTAAGTGTGGCAAACCTAGCCACTCGGACTATAACTGGACACTATGCCTTTAAGGGTTGCCTATAGGTCTGGAGAGAGAGACGTTGTAACTGTATGTGCCTGCTTCATGTATTCCATGCATTGCCTGTACCTATCTGTTCCGCCGAATGCAAATGGCGGTTTGTATGGGGATTCCCGTTCGTTTCGCGAACGGCACTTTGGAGGGCCGTTCGTGAAACGAATGCGATACCCCCTAATAGCCCACACACTTAGAGGCGTGTGGCGCTAGTTAACCGATTGCAACATTGTTGCAATCGGTTATTAGAGGCTCTCCTGGGTGGCCGTCGTTC